CCTGCTCTAGGATACATATACTAGAGGGGGCTTCAGTCTCCAGGGCCATCAGAGCAGCATTAGACTAAAGCGAGTAAATGGAGAGGGGAATAAAAAGAAGACAGAGATTTCCAATCTGTGCACAATGCTCTTTGGATTTAAATATGAACATAAATTAATAGGTGATTAGCCCAGCTCTCCTGCTCCTGGCTAACAGCCAAATGGCATTTGAAGCTACACAGTTGAACACTCCTGCACTCACACAAACTAACTGCCTCCCCACAGCAGTTTCCCCATAGCTAACTGCTCTGCTTGTTTGGTTTCCTTTTCTCTGTGGTTTGCCTCTGAACAGCTCAGCTCCAGGTGACAGCTCTCTTCCTCCAACTGGCCCCTTCCTGCATCATATGCTTTCCTGGATGCCTCCAGCAAAAGCAGTGGGGCTGGGATGAGGGGTAGGAGGCTAGCAGCACAGGAACACAGCTGAGCTGCTGACAGATGAAGCTCTGGGGAAATAAAGCCAGGTCTCAGTAACAGGCCGGAGACAGCCATGAGCTGTTAACAGAGACAGCCATGAGCTGTTAACAGCTTCCCTTCTTCACCGTTTGCAAGGTTCTGCTGGAGGGGCAGGAGCAGTGAGGAGTTTCCAGCACTGTGTGATCATCTGATGTGACCCAGTCTCTGGGAGCATTTACCGGCTAGAGGAAGAAGGGAATCGGTCCAGATGGTTCTTCTGACCAGTGAGCCAGGTAACAAGAGTCTGACATCCTAAGTCCCTGCAAGAGCAGGGTTCCAGTGGGTTCAGAGATCTACTGAGCTTCACCTGTATCCAGAGGGAACACCCTTCATTCTGCACTGCAGATCGGCTTGCCCCATGCTGCTGGACGGTGTCTGAAGACTGTGCTCTCAGCCCTTGCCTCCCTTATGCTGAAAGCAGGTGTGTCACTGAGCTTTCATGAACCTTCAAATAAAAACTCCCTGCAGCCAATCTCAGAGACCAAATGGAAACCCATCCCCATCTTAGTTCCACACAGGACACATTTGAGAGCCTGTTTTTCTTATGGGCTGTTCCACGCATTTCCATGGTCAGGGAAGATCTCCAGTTGTTTGGCATGATGGCAAATCACATCCCAACCCAAGATGGCAGGTTCCTTCCTTCACCCCTCAGCCACAGATGGCAAAAGCCACCTGCTTCCTGACCAAGAGTCACCACTGCTTTTTCCCAGTGGAAGAGGATGGCTATTAGGACTTCCTGTTTCAGCTACTAAACATCACAGGTCTTTTATGGCTCCTTGAGTTTTAGTCCATGACCTTGAACCCCCAGATGCAATGATGGCATCACCACTGGACCTGCTCAGGCAGATCGGTGTCTAGGTAGCCAGGAAGTCTTGGACCATGCAAAATGGTAGCCAATGGAACCGATAGGCTTTTATAATCAAGTAGTAGAGCAACCCCCAAAAGGCAACTCCTTTCTCTTTCTTCCCTCATCCCAGGCATTCTCCACCCCCCACCTGAGAACCTGTGTGAAGAAGGGTTAAGTTGAGCATCTCCACAAAAGGGTTCCTAGAAGCACATGCTGTATACCACTTTCATTAAGGGAACCCCACCACTCTCACAGTCCCTATGCTGCAAGTTCCCTGCTCTGCTTGAGCAAACATGGGATTTCTCAGATACCTGCTCTACTCCCCTGGATCATGCTCAGGAAGCCAAGTGCTGATCAGGGCCCTTTTCCCCTAATGTGGCAGGAGACTGACTGCCAAGCAGGACAAATGATGGGCAGTGTCACAGACCATGGATGGAGGGGTCTTTCTTTGTCTGCACTCACTGGTGCAGATATAGGGGAGCAAATGGTATGTGATACCTCAGAACGGGGTCCGACTGAAACCAGCCCAGGAAGCAGCAGTTTCGCAGGCAGCTTTGATCTGCCGGCAGAGGAAGGGCAGCTGGAGGCTGCAGGGGGAGCAGAGGGTTTGTTTCACTAGCTTCTAGGCTGTAAATCTGAGCTCAAGAGGGGGGATAAGGAAGAAGACCCTTTCTTAGCCTTTTGACTCTGCTTCTTGGCTCTTCCATTGGACACAGGGTCGCTCGGGGACTGAAAGCCTCTTTTGTATGAGATGAGGGAGCATGGCTGTCTTGTTCTGTAAATCTTACCCCAGACAGCTGTGCCATTGTGCAAACCTCATCCTCAGCAGCTGTCCCAGGATTCGGGAGCTTCCTTTAGTTCAAAGATATCCCTTCTGACAGGCAGCTGTCCGGGGATTCAGCAGCTTAGGTTCTGTCTCCAGGCCCTAGCAAAGGGCCCAATTCTGTGCAGTGCTGAGATCAGCATCAGTGAGAGAAGAGGATGATCTACACCTCCTTGAAAGTGCTTTGTATTTGACAGGATCAGGCTCATCAAGCATCCAGCTGAGTGGATGGTCTTTGAGGGGATTACTCATGTTATACTAAACCCAAAGTGGGTTGGATTGCACTCATTTCTGAGATTTTGCTCAGCTGTGCACAGTTGGAGACTGTCTACTGACCTGACTGCAGCTGTCCTGGGGGGATTTTCCTTTCTTTCTAAAATGCTACAAGCCCACAAGGTAAAGGGGCATCACCAGTTCTTCACCAGTGCTGCAAGTCTTGGAGAGGAGGGGACAAGAGTCACGACCGCTACGGTCTAATCCCAGCTTTGTAACCAACTCCCCATCTGACCTGGGGCGCCTGTCAGGGAGACTCTCGGCACAGGATCTTCCAGCTTCCCCGCAGCGGGGAAGCACGACAGTGGAGAGGAAGCAGAGACGACTGGATCCGAGGACAGCAGCAGCAAGTTCTCCAGTGGGAGCTGGAGCAACAGCGACGCAGACAACGGATGAACTAACACTTGTAACCCTGTAACGGGGGTGGGGATGAAGGGACTGTGGTGTCAAGTCTGAAAGACCAGTGGACTTGGGTGCGAGTACATGGGTGCGCATATTGTAATGGTTTCAGGACGCCAGCGGGCCTTTGTACGGGTACGTACAGTATAACGGGTTTATGATTTTCCTTTTTGGTTTATGAATAAGAGTGTAGATATATATAATTTTATGCATATATCTAAGAGATATATTTTTATAATAAACTCTCCCATCTGACCTGGGGCAAGTTGTGATGAAAGTATGGCTTCTCTTGACACCTCAGCCTTGGGGGGGACCAACTTGATGTACTCTGAGCCTGATGATTTTCAATGGGGCTGTGAACCTGCCACTGCCAACAAGATCAGCTACAACAGGGCACCACTCCCTATTCCCCTGCTGCAATCCTGCTGACAGAGACCAACTCCCCCACCTGCCTTCACATATACAAAAGACTCCCTTCAACGCTCTCTCTGGGCACTAGGATGGGGAGAGAAGCCTTTTTAGAGGCCACAGTATCCCGTAAGTCAGGGAGAGGGTCATAGGCAGCAAGTTTCAGATGCAGGAAGACCCAATCAGTAGGCACAGAGAGATCTGCATGAGACCATAGGATTGTTATTCCACAGATGGTACAACACAGCTGAGACCTATGCCGGAGGAACAGACGGGCCCAATATAGCTTCTTCATTGGACAATGTAGTTTCCTTTTCTGTGGAAACTTCTGAGCAGAAGGTAGCCTAGTCAAGTGCTAATGCCACCCTGAAAAGCCAACGCCCATCTCCCAAGCCCCAACATAGCAGTGACTAGAGGGTCCAGCTGCCAGTGACAGAAGAGGAGAGGAGGAAATGGTGTTGCCCACTGGATCAAGTGTAACCAGAGGCCAGCATTCCCCAAGCAAAACTACTCTAACAAGCCTCTGAAGGCAACCGGCCTGGCTGGAAGACACTGAGCAGGGAGGATGCAGAAGCTCCAGAGAGGTAATGGCAAATACAGCAGGAAGCTTGGATACCGTTTGTAGAGTCTACATGGCCACAAAGGATAACTGTAGCAGAGAGGACAGGAGGAGAGAACTGCCTTCAGCACCAGTCATCTTCAACCACTGTTCAGAGCTAACAAAGCAACTAAGGAAAGAGCTGCAAAGGCCCAAAATTGCCTTGTAAGGAAGACTGGTCAACTCCCAGCTGGGCTAGGGAGTGAAGGGGAGGGGGTGGGAAGGGCTGTTTAACTCAGTGGCCTAGCAAAGACCTCCCAGGGTCCAGTTTCAACAGCAACACTCCACCCCATAATTAATACATTTGTGTGTCGTGGAGAGGAGCAGGGTGGGGAGGGGAGGTTATGGCCTCAGACACAAATGCTGCACCTAGCAGAGGAGGGAAGGAATCAATGATGGGGAATGGAAAAATAATTAAAAAGCTGGAAAAGAAGTCTCATGTTAAAGGGGGGAAATAAATGAAGGCTCCAGTCCTGGTGGGGGAGGGCAGCTGGCTTTAATGTCTAATGCAGGATTAATTGAAAACACAACAGTGCTAATATAAAACAGGGCTCCAGCTGAATAGTGGCTCCAGTCCATGACACGGTTTTTAGTCTCTTGTTCCCAGGACCAGAAGGAGAGAGATCTTGATTTCTGCTAATTGAGAGGCTGCTTTTTGCCTCAGCATGACAAAAAATATTGACATAATGCACAGCCATTAGCAACAAAATGAAACAGCAAGTAATGTGGATGTCAAGCGCCCTCCAACCACATCACCACAATGGGCCAAAGGTTTTTCACACAGAGACGCTGGCAAGGCAGACGAGCTGAAAACTAGGACTAGTAGAGTCAGAAGTGTCCCTTCTTGCAGGCAGCTGAGGGCAAGTGGACCTTCACCGTTTTCTCTTTCTACCTGATGCAGGCTGTGCAGTCTCATGGTACCGTGCTGCAGGTACACTGGCAGTTTTAACATCCCCAACAGAGTCACCTGTGCCAGAACCACGTTTAGTTACCTGGCGGTATGGAAAGCAGAAGCCTCAACACCAAAACCACTCAACCTTGCCACAAAGGCTGAGAGAGGGACAACTAGAAGGCTCTTATCTTCCTAGAGGGACAGCTAGAGAACAAACGCACGCATTTAGCACCATATTACACAACCATCTTCCCAGGGATCTACTTACCTTCTTCGCTCTTTGGCGGATGCTCAGCCATTACTGGTTGTGGCTTTGATTCTGGTTGGAGAGGCTGACTGGTCAAGGAAGGCTCCAAATTCTCCATCTGCCGGACTGGTGGGGTTGGGACCTCTGCAGCCTTCGCTACCTGGATTTCTACTCGCTTGGTGGTGACATCGGGCGCGGGGGTGGTGTCAGCTCTCCGCTGAGGCATCTCTGGGATCTTTGAGGTGGGGGCTTCCATCCTCCGGAGAGATGGCTCCTGGGACTTGCCTAGAGTGATTTCAGTCCTTCTTGGTGTGGGCTCAGGAGGTTTGTGCCCCAGCACCTCTGCTCGCTTGAGGCCAAACCTTGAGAGCCCCGAAGTGGAATTCTCCACTTGCTTGGATGAGATATCGATGGAGATTTCTGTTCTTCTGGACACCGGCTCAGGGAGTTTGGGTCCAGAGAGCTCCACTCTCCTCAGGGAGGACTTGGGCGACCTCTGACCCGGTGACTCTCCATGTCTGGCAGCTGGTTCTGAATTTCTGGCACCAAGATCCTGGAATTTCTGCGTGGAGCTGGATACAGCAGACCTGAGGAGGGGGTTTGGGGTTCGTCTTTGTGGAGTGGAGGAATTTGAAGACTGGTCGACCTCCTCAACCTCAAAAGATCTCTTCAGAGCTGAAAAACAGAAATAAAATTCAGAATTAATTAAGAAAGCTGTTGTCTTCCATCTGATGGTATCAAAGCACTCTACAAACATTCAGGAATCCTCATGGCCTCCCTCCACACCAGTTAGGTAAGCCAGGATTAATACCTATATTTAACACATGGGGAAACTCAGAAACAGAAAGCTGATGTAATTTGCCCAATAAAACACAGCAAGTTAGTGCCAAGTTAGGACCCAAACCCAGGAATCCCAATTCTTAGAAAACAGATGGCTCAGGTCACTAGGCCTGAGATCTCCTCTGCCACAAACCTAGCACCATCACATCTGCCTGCATAACGCTGGGTGTAGGTTGCTGTTGTATTAGAGCTCTCCGCTGATGAGGGCTAGAGCTCCTACACCAGCTTTGTAGCCATGTAGATGACTTCACGAGGCACAAGACAATGTGGATGGGGCTTGGGTTTCAATCTGAATAATGAATCACTGCTTCTTCCACCCCAAAGGATGCAAAAGTAAATATAGGGGATGCCTTCCAGTAAAATAACACAAATCCACCCTCATTAAAGCATCCAGACCAGATGGGGACCAGAAATCCCAGGCACACATGCCAACGAAAAAGAAGGGTGGGAAAGAGAAAAGCTTAAGTCATGTTTTAGTAACAAAGCAAAGCATTTTAAAAAAAGATCCAGAAAGCCCTAATACAGTACAAGCTATCATAGTCCTCACTGTACCGATGGGGAAACATGAGGGTATGTACAAAGGAATAAATTCAATTGGTTAAAAAGAGGGCATGGATTTACTGCAGAACAGCTGACATGGTAACTGTGTATGTGCCCACTGTTTCTCAGTGATAAGTGGAAGCTAAGCAGTAGTAACTTAGCCCTAGTGCACTGAGGGAAGTGTAGTTTCCACTTATTGCAGTGTAAGACTGGACGCATGGATAGGTGCTGCAAGTCAGCCAGGCTTTTAACTTGCTATAATTTTTTTTTATTCATTTGCCCATGTCCTGAGGATCAGAGAGGGTAAACAATGTACCTGATTTTATAAAGAGCCAGCAACAAAACCCAGCATATCTGGGCCTCACAACCATGAGCTTAGGACAGAATACTTATATTTAATCAACTTATAATAACACTATGTCTCCACACCATCATTTTGTCTCTCAGCTCCAGCCCATGGTGGCAGTAATCTGTGCACATACACCACCATACAGCTGTGTGCTATTTGAAATGAAGCTCTTTCATGTCATTGATGTCCTGTCTCAAGGGACCCAGACCACTTCCTGTAGTCCCTTTAATGCACAGAGACAGCTTTCCCTA